GTGTACGACTAGGCGATCAAAACCTGGTAGTTGCAAGGAAAGTGCACAGGAGGTTCTATCACCTGCAATCACAATAACATCTGTACATGCATATCTGCCCCATGCCACCAGGAGAGAGAAGTTTCCATTAATGGCTTCGAGTCAGTCAGGGAAGATGAGTAGGAGAAGACTCCTGCTGACACAGCTTGAGAAGTGTGCTGTGACTGAGTCAATCTCCCTCTGTGACTCTAGTGCAGATGGAAGGGAAGGGTAAGAGAGCTCGCAAGGTTTTTAACATGGCCTCTCGGCATCACCTGCAGATCTCTGGCCTTGTAACGGCGGCGGGAAGCCTATAGAGCACAACAGGCAGGTTTTGAAAGTAAAAATCTCATTAATTTTCTCCATATTTTAACAGTAACGTATAAACCTTTCAAGATATGAGATATGAGATTATTAAGATTATAAATGCACTAACGTTCAACAGTTTGGGGTCATATCAATAAATTCAAATAAATACTTTTTTTTTTTAATTTCTTTTCATCAAAGAATCCTGAAAAACATATCGGTTTTCACAAAAAATATTAAGTAGCACAACTGTTTTCAACATTGATAGTAATAAAAAAAAAAATTCTTGAGCAGCAAATCAGCATATTAGAATGATTTTTGAAGGATCATGTGACACTGAAGACTGGAGTAATGGCTGCTGAAAATTCGGCTTCACCATCACAGGAATAAATTATATTTTAAAATATATTCAAATAGAAAACGGTTATTTTCAATTGTAATAATATTTCAGAATATTACTGGTTTTTACTGTATTTTCAACCCCAAACTTTTGAACGGTAATGTACATCTGTAGATGGCAAGAGTCTGTGAGATTTTTATTTTTGAAATATTGTGGATAATATTATGGATAATTGTGGATAATGTGGATAATTTCTATGATAGTCTAAGAACTATGCATTTCCTTCCCTTATTATTGTGATTTGATTAGAGCCACTCTAAAATCCAGAGTTATTTTTAGTGACCTCACTATATTAAATGAAACAATCCAGCTGCTTCGCCTCGACCAAACATGATTCCCATCAGCAGGATGTGGCTCCCTTACTCCCACCACCAGACATCCTCAGGACTATACTGACCCACTGATAAATGGCATCCTCAAACAATGGAGCACTCCATGCTGAGAGACCCGGTCTAAAACCTTTTGACCAAGCTTAGAGGTCGAGAACCAGGCACAAGATGAAACTAAGAGGTCCTTCCTACCGTCTTATCTCACTTAGGCCCATGAGTACAACCACAAAAGTCTTTAGAGAATAACTTTTCTATACAGCCAGACGGTTCCACGCCGGTCCTGGGTCAACGTGACCACGCTAGAAACAAACAAAATGACTCATTCTGCTGTTTTTGTTGCTAGGAGGTTGTGAAGGGTTTTTGGCGACAAGGAGTTCCATTGAGACGGACCGAATGACACACTCCACAGTCAGTTGCCTTGGTTTCCTGCCCTCTAGAACACAAGTCGATAGGGTCTAACAGTATAGACATTGAAAGCCTGCTGTAATAATGAGCGAAAAGCCATACTGCTGGAAGTGGACTAACGTTAGGGTGGAAACAATGACATTTTAGTTTGGGAAACTAAGTTGGGTCAAACAGAAAGGGAGGATCTGCGAAACGCATCAGGGCACTCGGGCTCATTGGCTATTTCCGAATGTGCCAGGCAAAATAAATGAGAGGCGCTGTGTACTTTACTCAGTGTAGGCCTGGTGGAAAGCACATCTTCAACAACTCTAACTCATACCGTCTGACCTTAAAGGGATACTCCACCCCAAAATGAAAATTTTGTCATTAATCACTTACCCCCATGTCGTTCCAAACCCCTAAAAGCTTTGTTTGTCTACAGAACACAATTTAAGATATTTTGGATAAAAACCGGGAGGCTTGTGACTGTCCGATTGACTGCCAAGTAAATTACACTGTCAAGGTCTAGAAAAGTATGAAAGACATTGTCAGAATAGTCCATCTGCCATCAGTGGTTCAACCGTAACGTTATGAAGTGACGAGAATACTTTTTGTACACAAAGAAAACAAAAATAACGTGTCTCTCCACTGTGTCTCTCCGCATCACCGTAGCGCCATTTTAGAAAATACGGTGTACGCTCTTCTGTGTCAGCCGCGACACAAGGATATGTTTTCTATGTGTATTTACGCTTTGATTTGAACGAAAACAGCACATCCGTGCAGCGCGGCTGACACAGAATAGCGTACGCTGCTTGCGTTCAGCTGATGTTCTCCAAAATGGCGCTACGGTGATGCAGAGAGACACAGAGGAGACGAATTGTTGAATAAAGTCGTTATTTTTGTTTTCTTCGCATACAAAAAGTATTCTCATCGCTTCACAACGTTACGGTTGAATCACTGATGGCAGATGGACTATTCTGACAATGTCTTTCATACTTTTCTAGACCTTGACAGTGTAATTTACTAAGCAGTCAATGGGACAGTCACAACCTCCCGGTTTTCATCCAAAATATCTTAAATTGTGTTCCGAAGACGAACTAAGCTTTTACGGGTTTGGAACGACAACAAGCCTCCCGGCTTTCATCCAAAATATCTTAAATTGTGTTCCGTAGACGAACTAAGCTTTTACGGGTGTGGAACGACATGGGGGTAAGTGATTAATGACAAAATTTTCATTTTGGGGTGGAGTATCCCTTTAAGCTAACATTTACAAATCAATCTCCACTCACGTTGTCAAGGAGCTAAAAAACCAGAATGGACCGGGTAGACAGCAGAAATATGTATGGTTCTTCACTCCCAAATCCCCAGGGTCAATGCTGCTCCTCAAATCATCAGTCTGATTTCAAAGCGGTAGCTGTTACTGTAAAACGAGGATCAGAAACAGGATCAAGCAGCACGCTGGAGCTGGGAGGTGAAGCGTTCTGTCGGGCTGTCACTTTTTCTGAGGTATGCCGAGAAGAGAGGCATAGACAGGTCATCCTCATGCAGCGAGATCAGATTTACACTTCAAAAAGCAAATCCCAGCAGTTTTAAGAATGGCAAGCCTTTACTAAAAGACAAGGATAGAAAAGGAAAAGGAACAGGTGAACAGGCAAAAAAAGGAGGAAAGAAATGACAGAACTTTATGTTCTTATCTTATAGGAGGAGTGCTTCACCATTGCTGTTAGTTTGGAGGTCGTGCAGAGGTTCAATCTGGTGTGTGAGGCTGGTAAAGGGGGAGGGGAATTACCAATTCTACCTGGTTAGCAGAGCGTCTAGAAGGGGTCTGTTAGCTAGTCAAGGCAGTGAAGAAGAGTAACAACAGCACCTATATAGACAAATAGATATATGACAAATAGATCTATTCAGGCCCAAAAATAACTTATGTACCAGCTCATGTAAAAAAAATATGTTTGAAGAAATGTGCTTTGATCAGTTGGAGTGCGAGTTTTCTGACAGAGAGCACTGCATGCATTGTGAAAGATGAGCAATTGGGCAATTGTAGACATTTATTTCTGCACACTTAGCAAATCCAGAAGAGAAAATGGGATTCTGGCTGTTTTGAACCATTTATCTCTAAAAGTACTGTGTGAAATATCTTAGACAGTTGCTACTTGCAAGTCATGGAAACAAAACTAAAACTCTTTGCCCTCCCATGACAGCTCATTACAAATGTTCCCATGTTTCAACAGGAGTGGGAGCAAGCTCTCTCAACTGAAGCTGGAACTAAATTCAAGTTTATCGTCCAATTTGTTCCACAGTGTCAGCAACATATGATGATTTAATATTTTTACACTGGCCTCTGCGAGTCTGCCAGCTGATGGGGCGAACAACAGTTCAAACAAAGTGACTTACATCATGCCTTACAACACTAGAGGATTTACTGGCATTTACTGACTGTTTTTAGCATTGATAATAATAATAAATCAGCTTAGAATTATTTCTGAAAGATCCTGAAGACTGGAGTAATGCTGAAAATTCAGCTTCTGAAAATTCATCACAGGAATAAATTACACTTTAAAATATATTCAAATAGAAAACTATTATTTTAAATTGTAAATAAATTTTAATAAACTATATATATTTTTTTATTGGTAAATGCAGCCTTGGTGAGCATTAGAGACTTCTCTTAAAAAACATTTAAAAATCCTACCGAGCCCAAGGTTTTGAACGGTAGTGTAATAAAAATATAATTTCAAAAAATGTATTGCATTTCCACCAGACAAAGAGAGTGATAACACTAGCCGGCTATGTTTTTATATCCTCAGGATATTCACTACATTTATATTTCAAAAATCTCAAAGGTAATAAAAGTAATGTGAGAGTTGTATAGTTTGTTTCAAACACATTCATGAACATATGATCGAAAAGAAAGGGGTCAGTAAATTGCCTTTTGGAAGCTTGAGGATATGAGGTCTCCGACAGCGTTCATATGTCTGATTCATCACCATCTCACCATTCAGTATGAAATTAGTAATTATCATTAACGAAATGGACTGGAGGAAAGACATCACACAATGAGAAATTATCTTTCAACGCCAAAGTGTAGAAGTCATGATCTTGCGCTCCATCTGTCGTATATTCATTACTTCTCTCACAGGGACGTTTGGAGCCCTGGAGGACTATTAATTGGAGAAGGGGCAGGTTCCCAGCATGCACTACAGGGTGCCAGGTGATGGTAGACAGACAGTCCTGTCACTGAATTGATGACAAGCTTTCTCCTGGTGGAAATGACTGTGAAGGTCAGCCAAAGGAGCAAAGCAAAGACAAAATGTTGGGAGGCTGACAAGAAGAAAAATGTAGTCCTCCAAGGGCAAAGGAACAGCCTTTTTGATAATGTCCTTTGTCTGAGGAACAAAAGAGTCTCTTTGCCACTTGGAGCAGGTCCCTGTTACTACATAAAGACAGACTTAGTGGTTTCACGGAGTGAAAAAGTAGAAAAAGTTGCAAAGCGCACTGTGAGCCAACAGTAACCAAGTGAAAAAACAAACAAACAACAGATTCACTCTTCATTAAATCCTTACCTCTTGCCCATGAGTCTTGCGGGTTTAGCGAGGCCAAGATTGCTCTTGTTTGGCTGCTTCTTGCGGCGGGTCAACTTTTTGCGGCCAGAGCCACCGGCAGGCACATCCTCAGCTTGCTGGGTGGTGTTGCTCCCACTGCCCTTGCTGTTGAGGTCCCGCAAAACATCATAATTGATCTTACTGGAGATCTTTTTCTGCTCCAACATCTTCTCTATGGCCTCTCCCGCAGTGCTGGCCAGGATCGGTTCTCGCTTCTTGGATGGCTTCTTTGGCTAGACAAATTGGAATAGGAGTTGTTTACAGTGAAAAACAAACATTGGAGTCAGTGCTTAGATGGCTCTTATTTATAGCGAAGAGTCCTTTGGCTTTCTAAAAACATTTCTGAAGGCTAAAAGCATACTGGTGATTTAAGTAAGTGAGCATTTCTATCTCTTTGGTCATCTGGGTATCATTTAAACAGTGCATTTCCCCACTGGACCTTGATATAATAATGTCAGGCTAACAGCTGTCAACAACAAAGTGACAGAATCCCATTAGTAGCCTGGGAAAGCTATCAAGACCATCTGATCTGGTCACCGCTGACCATGTTCCTCGTGTGGTAAAGTGGAACAAGTCTCTTCACAGTCAGCAAGTGGACTACTGTACCTGAAATTGCTATCAGGCTCAAGGCACCTCATTAGAGGTGCAGAGCAGGGCCGGCTAATCCAACCCCGACTGGAAGTCACGGTGCAGATGTCAGAGCAGACAGGTTAAGGAGAGGCGACACTGAGAGCCTGGGGTGAAACCAGAGGAGCAAGTGAAGTTAAAATGGAAAGTATGCGGTCTCTTAGGACCTGCAGCTGCTGAGTGTCTGAAGACCCTGGCATGGGAGGAAAGCCCACGTTGACAACATAAGAAAAAGGCAGACATGCAAACACACACACACACACACACAACATGCTCACCTTCTCCTTATAGGTCCCTTGCTCCTTCTCTTTAGCTATTCTCTCCTCTTTTTCTGAAAAAATAAACAAAATAAATAAAACAAAATAGGGAGACACAATGGCTTTATCAAATGGAGTGTTTTAGACTAGACACAAAAAGCAATAAAAAAAAATAAAGGACTTTAAAAACTCAAAAAACTCTTACAACGTTGAGCAGATTAACTTTAGGAGGTCAATCTTTTATTTTTCACAGTAAAAATCAAACTTAATTTCACAAAGTTCAATCATGGGATGAAATTGCAGGAAGTAGTTCACTGTGCCAGTATTTAAAAACAAAATCCTTCCTTTCACTGAATTTTTGTCTCTGTGGCTGAGCAGTCCCTTGGTAGGACATATGCCTCTGACGTCAGCACAGATCGAGTGTATGAGCTTGTGTTAATAAATGCATTAAGCTCTTCTTCTCCTATACACTTACCTTTCTGTTCCCTCAAATACTCCTCATTCTGTTTCATCCACAGCTCTGTCTTGGCCTTCACCTCTATCTCGTTCAAAATGTACTGCAGAGAAGATAACAGGCCCATGCTGATAAGTAAGGATAAAAGGTGATAATTTGTAAATCTGGGATGCAGAACATCAGACAGTTTTTTTAACTTCACATGACCTGCTAAAGTTCAACAGAAGTTTCAAGCTCCATTTTCAGAGAACAACACAGTAATGTGTTACACTGTAAAATCTTTTTTTCTCTTCATTAGTATTTTCGTCTTGTTTTTCCACAAAAAAAAGACTTACTTGAAAAGCAAAGCTGCATGAGACATAACACATGCCTTTAGAGATTATTATATTATTTTACAAGCAAAATTTTAAGCATAAATCCAACATTTTGTGAGATTTATGTCTTATTACCTACAGAATTTGCATATATATATATATATATAGATAGATAGATAGATAGATAGATAGAAATATATCTTTTTTT